TGGTTCAATTTCAAGGACACAAATATCCAAAATTCCTTTATTTATCTTATAAGAGTCTCTATATTCCTATAGTAAATCACTTAATCAGTTCTAAAGATGATACAAAGCTTGACAGAATTTTAGTCAAATAGCGACGGGTGTAGCCATCCGATAAGTTGGGAACTAATGAATATAGATATACAATTGAACAAGTCATGACCGTGAAACACTGCAASTCACGTATAAACGCACCTATAAACCCAGGTGCTATCACATCATTATGATAGAATATAACTTTTAGTCKTAAAAATGAGTCCCGCTAGGTTGCCACGGGTTTTGGTGTCATCATTTGATTTAGAAAAAATATCATATTTACGTCTTGAAAATTTTCAAGCATGAGAAGTAYTYTGAGTTGATCAAGCAATACAATAACTGAGGGTTAAACACAAATAAAAATAACGGTCATAGCATTGTTTCTTGCTCTATATGACGTCATATTTCTAGACGCTTTCATCGTTGCTTTTCTAAAACGCTATAAATACATTGAAAATGCTATGAGATACGAACAGTAATGAAATATCCACTATTTCCTTGTCAGTTTGGTTAAGCTAAAGATATCTTTTGATCTAAGCATGAAGACGCCCTTTTCGGATTGCTTCATAGCACCATAAGTCAGACATTAATACCAAATTTTCAATAAAACTTAGTATTGATTTAAAACTTTTATTATTTAAATACTAAGCCATGGAAAGGGTCACACCTTGGATTGATTAATGGTTTCCTATAAATAGTTCAGATCTCTTGTTTTAACTGAGCTTAATTATCAGTATATCTTTTTATCTGTTTAAGGAAAAGAAAATTTCAAATTGATTCACAGCACCATAAGTCAGTCCTTACAGGCCCGTGGTCTGCCTCACAAATCGGGGTGGGTTCGCTTTTTCATAATGCGGACCTAAATTGAATGTTTAACTAAACTAGTTAAATGCACAGGTATATTGTGTAAGAACTGCCTGCTAGAATGAGTTCATACAAAAATATCATTCATAACAAAAGAATTTTAAAATAGAGCAATAAAACGTTTTCAATAAATCTTAGTATTTATTACTTTAGGAAGGGTTTCACTTTGATTAATGCTTGCCTGTAAATATTTCAGATCTCTTGTTTGGGAGCTGGTTTTCTTCGAAGCACTAAAACTAAGTGAATTTAGTTAAGAGTCGAATGGTAAGTTTGACCACGAAAATGTTTACTAAAAAAACTATTGTACCTGCATGCACATCATTTATCAAAGTCTAAAGCTGATTTTGTTAAAAACTTATAGAAATGWTCWTGATCTTTAAGAGAAAATCCGAGTTGAAGTTGACTGTAAATCAAGAAAATCTCTTAGTTCTTAGTGTGCTTACAATTGTCATGAACTTGTTAAGGATTAAATTAACATAATAGTCAATAAAGTAAGCTGCATCGGTGTTTCTTATTAAGATGTAATTAAAAACCGAAAAAAGAGCAGGTGAAATATCTCAATGACGTTTCGGATGTTCTATTATACAAACTCACACTTAGCCCAGTTTCATTGCTTTACTCCGACAAAGGGTCGATTAAAGTCCGAAACGTCAGTAAGTTATTACAACTCCTTTTTGTATGGTGTTATTAAAATTTATCTTATTCCACAACTGCCAATACATAAATAATCTATTATGAGCAATACTGTGATGTTTTCAAAATGGTTATTGTAGTCGTAGTTGTATTTTTCATACTTCATCTCATTTTTTACAGGAAATACCAGGACAGTAGCAATTGACTGGTACAAAGTAGCAAAAAAACTGCCAGAAGATGGTCCAGCATATTATATGTAACACGAACTTGTTTGGAAAGGTTCTCTTAGCATAGAATATTTCAGGTAATTATATTTTAACTTCACATGTTAAGCAATAAATGAAATTTGCTATCTATAAGAAAAGTCCTTGATATAGAACATAGAAATAAATTGAATAGTAAAATTAATTTTAGTTAAAAAATAAGAAATCATGATGTCACTAAAACCTAGAGAGTTTAATTGAAGTAACGATTGGCATCGAAAACTTTACTACTA